AATATCACAGCATTTGATGAACAATAAATACGGGGACTGTGTGGTCTTTTTTTATTTTTGTTCTCCCCTCTCTCTCTGTGAACGACTCTCTTCGCCTTTCTCTCTCTCTCTTCGTCTCTCTCTCTTCGCCTCTCACTTTTCCTTTCTCTCTCAACGACGCTCCGACTAGGCTTGTCAAAATCTGACACAACACGATAAATCGACACGAATTAAATGGGTTTAGGTGAGACCTTAACGGGTTTGGGTGGTAAACAGGTTAACCCGTTAAACATGTTTAATAAATGGTTATGTTCGGGTGAGACATGTCAACCCGTTCATCACCCGTTTACCTGTTTAAAAAATTAATATAATAAAAAAATAATTATTATTTTAAAAAATTTAGGGGTGCAGCTCCTCTGCAGTTACCCAGAAACAACTGTTGCGGCTCCAGCCGTCGCGGTGCCACTATTCGACATCCATAGCTGCCCCAATCACCCTCTAATTTGGTTTTCGTTATTTATCCCAGAGAAGTTGTTAGTTGCAGTCAGTTGGTCTATCCATAATATTTGAAAATGAGGGATGGAAAAACATGTACAAATAAATAGGGTACCTGAATTATTGAGTGAGCTACTACTGCCCTTCATGGTTTCAAATTCCTACAAGAAAATGCAACCTTTATAACATCGGCCTTTTTTTTAATTGTCGAGACCACTGAAAAGTTCCATAAAAGTATAGGAGAAAGGTGAACAAACTCATATAGATGCCGCCAAGGAAGAGATAACATGAATGGAGTTCTTGTCATTGGAATTCTTAGAAGTTTGTCAGTTTCATCCATTCTTAGAACACAATGAAAGCTTTTAGGTCTGTACAGTGAACATACTGAAAATTTTTTACTTGAATCCCACATTGACAAATTTAAATGAAGGAGACCTCTAATGCCTATAAACAACTGTAACCCCTTTCTTTAGTCATTCAACCTTCTCACTTGCTTTTGCAAGTGGCACCCAACTGAAAATCTTTTAATTAAGAGAGTTCAGATGTTGTGGGTAATTAATGGAGTTTAAAATTTTAATAGAATTATTTTTTGGTGTGGGTTAAAATTTTAATAAAATTAAACGTGTTAAAGTGTCATATCGTGTTACCTGTTTATTAAATGGTTCATGTTTGTGTTAAGATTTTTCACCCGTTTATTAAACGTGTCGTGTATGGGTTTACATATTTTTCACTCGTGACCCGTTTAACCTGACACGTTTGACACCCCTAGCTCTGTCTTGACTTCTATCTCTCTTTCTTCTAGTCACAGATTGACAAAGAAAAAGGCTTCTCGTCTCCCCGCTGTGGAGGGAAGTGTAACCCCTTTCTTATATAGATATATGTGTATATATATATGTATATATATACATATATCTACATAGATCTATACGTAACAGATCCTAATTGTATTTCTTTCATAAATATCTGTATTTTTTTCACCACAAGATACATAAATCTGTATATTTGTATGTCTTTATTTTCGAGGTGTGGCCTGTGTGTGAGTGTGTCTATGTTTTCTCTAAAGTTTTGTGTGTAAGTGTGTGTGGTCTTTATTTTTGGGATAGTTCATAAGTTAGATGCATATAATGTCATTTTAGGGTAACATTGTATGATAAGAACGTATTTTGAGTCATTTTTTTTGTATCGATGCTCAAATGCTATAACATTGTGGCATTTACAAATTTTTTCGTGTTTGAAATTGTGAAGGAAATATCATCAACCTTATTGTATTTTCCTCTGGTTTGAATTTGTAACTTGTATCATTTTTGATCCAATTAGATTTGTGAATTAATTTATCCATTTGTATCCATGTTGTACTGCGAGATGTAGAATCGAATGTCAATTTGATGCTTGAAAACTATTTCTTACCATGGCCCAAAACTTGTGATTTTAGGTGGCATTCCTTCTATACATTGTGACTATTTTAGTCATTGATGATACTTTGTTATATGTTGTTGTTTGCATAATGTTGCATGACATCGTGAATGAATGGGAAATTCATTTACGATTTCATATGTTTGATAAAAATGTGTTTAATACTAATTATTTTGCCTTTGATTGTTTATCATTGAAAGTGACTCGTTGGTTCTTGTTAATTCTGTTTTGGGTGTTTGTGCTTGCTCGTCGCTTTGCTTGGATTATATGAGGAAGATTAAAGCTTTTCTTAGTAGTTTGGAGTATCAATTGGTGCATGTATTTCGAGAAGCAAATGTTGTTGCCGATAGACTAGCTGGTCATGCTGTAATGGGTAAGAGATCTATCAATTTTTTGTTGGATCTAAAGCTACCTAGTGAGGTTGGGTTAGCTTTGTTTTTTGATCAGAAAGGCCTACCAGTTTTGTGTAAGAAGAAAACTCTGATTTTTTATGATAAGTGCTAGTAGTTAGGGTGGTTTGTTGGCCGAAGTTGGAGTGTTATTTTGTTTGAAATTTGAGAAATGGAAGAGAGATGTTATGATGGTATCAAACTGTAAATTCAGGGGTTGACTGTCTTCTTGTTGTCTTAGATTGTGGCTAAGTTTTTTGGTTTTGTTTTGTTAATTTTGTTTATTTGTAATGGGAAGGTGTATGTGTCTTTCTTCTGCTTCTTGTAATTCTTTGAGTTGTGAGTAAATAAAATTTCTCTTTTTTGTTAAAAAAAAAAAAGTGGATGTTTTGAGTTAAGGAATTTTTGGATTTGTATTTTGTAGTATGAGATATAATAAATCATATTTAGGATAAAACTTGAATTAGTTAACAAACATGTTTTTTGTTTTTGTTCTCATAATTTGATAGACAAAAATGATACTCAAACATGTTTTCTGTGTTAGTGTTTATCACAAAACAGAGACAAAAATTATCTCTATTTTTTATTGTTTTGAAGACGCGAAAACGAAAATATTACGAAACGACCCTTTTAATGCACCTCTAATATCCAAAGCAATATCGACATCCTCCTAAACCTCTCGATGCATTCATTCTTTTTAGATTAGATCAACAAATCATGAAGAACCAAGGTTGCTTCTTTAATGTTCTATTTGGTACAATAGAAAAATTGAATGATGTAAAGTTAGAGGGATAGAAAAAATATAACGTTTGGTAAGAAAGGAAAATATGACGGATGAAAAAGTGGATGAATGAGCTTCATTTCCAACTCACCATAATCAATCCCTCCAAAATTAGGCGAAAAAGGCAGGAAAATGGTACTTGATAATGGTGGATTTAAGCTTGGGCTTGAACCGCCCATTTGGGGTCCAAAACTTCCAATGGGCCGCCTTGAAGAGCAACCTTAACGACCCACCTACAGCACGCCCGCTTCATCATGAAAGTGGATCATAGCCCAGGGCATGAAGTCCAGGGTCATCCAGATCTATATATATTTGTTTGGTCGTCTCAAGCACGGTAGAATGGACCAGTTCGAGAACTAGGAGCTCGGTACAGGATAGATGCAACTCTTGTCGCGCCACGTATCTAGGGCACAGGGAGACAACCTCTAATGACCCTAACGAACAAATATTCCATGATAAAGGAAACATTTGGATACATTCCATTTTGAAGACCGTGGACACACAATGTGTTAGGTGGCAGACCTCGCTATAAGACAAATGAAGAGGGGACCACAGAATCAGTCAAGAAAAGAGTCGGAGTCGGAGAAAAATTGTAGACTCCAATCAGAGTTAAAGTCTGCAGTTCATTTCGAAAAAACTCTAACTCTTATTAATTAATAGTTATATAAATTATAAATTATATAATGTATTATTATAAATCTAAAATCCTATGACCAACCCACCAAAATATTTAAGCCCATAACCCCCCTCTCTCTCACTCTAACCAAAGACACTGTCTCCGACGAATATCTCTCAGACAGTAACACACACACACTCTCTCTCTATATATATATATTTATTGTAAAATTTCTGCACAGAAATCTGATTTTTTTTTGTTTTTTGGGGATTGTGTTAATTTTTGAAATTCCGCTCCGACTCCGATTGGGAGAGGTGGAGGGAATGTATTGCGGAGTCAGAGTTGGAGTTGGAGGGGAAAACTCATTCCGACCGAAGTCGGAATTAGAGGTCGGATTGGTGTCTTCCAATTCCGCCTGAGTCGGTGCCCACCCCTAATATTGTGAAGTGCTTGACAAGTGTGAACCTTGAACCTTCGTGCTTCGTCCAAAACATGGCAATATTGTACAATGCGGCTCAAAGGGCTTTACACCAACCTTTTGTGATACATTTATAATAGCTTTTCTAGTTTGGTTTGTTTTTATTTTTAACTTCTATATCAAATGGAGTCTCTTCTTGATGGTTTAGCTCCCCCTGTCCTCCATGGACATTTAGTTGCTGAATGATAGACTAAATCATTTCTACAATAATTCATCTATTAACAAGTAATTAGCTTGTTAGTTCATCCAATAATGTATAAAACTGATCATGTGAGAAGACAAAAACTCCCTTGGTTGTTCCTGTGATCATAGGTTTCCCGGTATGCTCAATAGGGTAATGCCTAACATGTGAGTCTTCAACACATTTATTAATTATGGCAAGGCAACCACAGATAAGGTCAATCCAATTGGTGAGATAATCCAGAATGGTGTCAGATCCTTCTGTCATATCTTGGAGTTCTATAGATAATTTGTGGGTGGCTATTGGGAGGTTTGAAACAGAAATGGATGGAGCAATGAGAAGAAGACAAGAAAAACAGAATATATGGGAAATTTCAGGCAAAAAGAAAAGCAGTAGCTTGAGGTTCAACGTGACTTAAAGTGATTTCTCTGTGCTTAATGTATGACTCAAAAAAAGATGGTGCCATGGGAGTGATTGTTGTGCCACTAGAAGACGAACAACAATGAATGCTTATAAGGATGCATGGTTTCTCTCTGCTGCAATGAAGAAACTATTTTAATACAGCTTCCTGGTCTTTTGTTTTTTTAGAACTCCTCCCTTGGCAGCTAGTACTTAGTAGCACTGCCCTTCTTAAAAAGAGACACCAGAACAAAGTTTAGAGTTAACCAATGGCATTCACTTTTTTCTGTAATGTTTCACTTCCTCTCTTGATAAGCCTTATGTTCTTCCTACCTCTGATTACCATCAATTCATCTGAGCCTCTGATATCAAGCTACATTGTGCACACTGATAGCCAATCGAGGCCTTCTCGGTTCTCAACTCAAGATGATTGGTATAGTTATATGATCAATACGTTCACTGACCAAAAAATGGAATCACAATCTAGCTCTCGAATTTTCTATACATACAATGTAGTCTTCCATGGCTTTGCAGCAAGATTGACAGATAAAGAGGCTAAAAAGTTCACAAAAGTGCCGGGAGTTTTGGCCGTTTTAGCAGACAAGGTCACGGTAAAGTTAGACACTACCCAGTCCCCAGAATTTCTTGGTCTGCATTTGGATTATGGCCTGTGGCCGGAGACCAACTTGGGTGAGAATGTTATAATTGGCATTGTAGATTCTGGAATTTGGCCGGAGAGTGACAGCTTCAAGGACACTGGGATTGGACCAATACCCTCTAGGTGGAAAGGTGCATGTGAACAGGGAACTGAATTCAATTCTAGTCATTGTAACAGGAAACTCATTGGTGCAAGATTCTTCCTCAAGGGTATTGAGCACTACATGTCTGACAGATTATTGGAAGAACTTGGCGAATATCGATCCCCGCGAGATGGAGTGGGACATGGCACACATACTGCTTCAACAGCAGCAGGATCCGAGGTGGCCAATGCTAATGTATTTGGTTTTGCTAATGGCACTGCTCGAGGCATCGCAACAAAGGCCAGGATTGCCATGTATAAAGCCTGTGAGGTTTTATGTTCCGAGTCTGACATTTTTGCTGCCATGGAAAGTGCTATCAATGATGGTGTAGATATATTGTCTGCCTCACTTGGATCCCAAGATGCACCATATTATGAAAATGCAATGGCAAAAGCGGCCTTTGCAGCTGCAAAAAGGAACATTTTTGTTTCCTGCTCAGCAGGAAATCTCGGGCCTCATGCGTATTCTGTTCATAACACAGCGCCATGGATGACCACCGTTGGTGCTGGATCTATAGATCGTACTTTCCCGGTGACAGTTCAACTTGGAAACAACAAAACTTTAATTGGCTCATCTCTTTATGGTAAGAAAATCAATACGGATAGCTTTCCACTCGTTTATCTAGGAGACTGCATTGCTGCCAACATGATTCCTCAGAATGTAATGGGAAAGATATTAGTTTGCAATGGCAGCAAACTCCAAGCCATCAACGATGAGCATCTCATTCAGGAAGCAGGTGGTGTCGGACTGCTTCAACTAAACCATATAACTGAAGGAGAAGGGCTCACAGCAATTGCATACACATTGCCTGCTGCAACATTGGGTTACCGCGAAGCCCTGGAGCTTGTCTCTTATATTATCTCAACCAAAAATCCCTTGGCGAGCTTCAAATTTCATAATCGTACAGTGATAGGGAAAGAGAGGGCCCCAATCACCTCGAGTTTTTCTGCACGAGGTCCTAATCCAATTGTTCCAGAAATCCTGAAACCCGATCTTATTGCCCCAGGTTTCAACATTCTTGCAGCATGGCCTCCTAATATTTCTCCAACCCGTTCTTCATTTGACCCAAGGCGAGTGAAGTTCAATACAGATTCTGGAACATCAATGTCCTGCCCACATGTTGCTGGTGTTGCTGCATTGCTCCGTGCTGCTCACCCCAATTGGTCCTCTGCAGCGGTCAGGTCAGCACTCATGACCACCTCCACAGCAACTGACAATCAGTATCGTTTGATTGCTAGATATGAAGATTTGGAGCCAGCAACTGCACTTAGCATCGGATCTGGACATGTTAATCCACAATTGGCTTCAGATCCAGGGCTAATTTACGATGCAGATATATCAGATTACATCAGGTTTTTGTGCAGCGTGAACTACACCGAAAAGCAGATGAAATTTTTTGTAGAGGCATCAAAACCTTGCTCAGGACCAGCAGGTTCTCCGGGAGATCTTAACTATCCATCATTCTCCGTGGTATTCAGGCCTAACAGCTCCGTTCAAGAGTTAAAGAGAACATTGACCAATGTTGGGGAGCTTCTGCCAGAGGTGTACAAAGTTAGAATTGTCCATCATAAGGTTAAAAAGGCAAATGTAACTGTGAAACCACAGAAGTTGATCTTCAACAAATCTTTCGAGAAGCAAAGCTACAAAGTCAGATTCCAGAGCAACTATGTCTTCAATAAGAGCGGTACCACTGTGGAACAAATGGCTTTTGGGTCCATTTCATGGGAAAGTGAGGGCCATGTTGTTAGGAGTCCGTTTTCAGTGTTGTGGCTACAGTCGTAGTTTTGATTTTGTAATGTTGGAACAAATGAATGTCAAAGTTATGTTGCTTAGCTCAGATAGTGTGCTTTCTTACTGGGGTGGGAATTGATTGTATCAAAGAAACCTTGAGAAAACTTAGCTAAAAGCTACTTTGAATGGTATCCTATTTGATTCTAAAGAAGTTGGGGATTTTGGTAATACTTAGACAGACTAGTTGGGCAGAGCAGTCCAGCTAAAATTTTATGATCAGACAAACATGATTTGTTTTTCCAACTCAAGCACATGTTTGCATAACGTTAGTCGGAGAATCTAATTGCAATGGTTATGATTTCAAATCAGGAATAAGAACTGCTTTTAGCATTTAACTGACAAAATGACAAGGGAATGATCTCTGGACTTGATCCAAATTGCAATAGAATGATATTTGCAGCGAGTCAGTCGTTGACATGCTCAACTGTCATTGTCTTCATGATGCAAAGAAAAACGTGAAAAAACATTATCTATAGCACCTTTAAAACAGGGAAGACACCCTTTGTTTCTCTGCAATTTATGCCTTCTTTTCAAATTATTTGTTTTATTGTAACAATCTTCTTCCAACATGACTATCTGTTTTGGGGATAATTCTACGACTGCTAACCCTTTATCTGCTGCCCATCAACATTATCAGGGGCTCAAGGCTTCTTGCTGACCTACTCATACTCTTTTTAGTATACACCGATTTTCAGTTATTTTTGGTCTTTTTGGGATGCTATAAAGTACAATCTCTGTGTTCATTTTTTTGGAATAGAGACTGGAACATGAAATCTTGAATAGAGAGAATGCTTTATGTCACATTAAGTTCAAGAACAATGTTGTAAGTGATTTATAATGTTAAAATGCCCTGAAAACTACTCCAAGTGTGTGTGCATATGCCATATTGAAGAAAGAAAAGTTGAATTTGAGTATCAGATAAAAGATTCCCTTTGAAGGAATGTATTTTTATATGCCCCTTCCTTGAAATTAACATAGCAAATTAATCAAAGGTATTGACATTATGACTGGCAACATTGTTTTCTGAAGGAAGTCTTCCACTATTTTCTTTGCCATTTCATTCGGTGGATGTAACCCATGATCACATCGTAATTGATCGTGGCGACATATGTGCTTCAAAGCCTTTGTGATTTTAAGGTATCTGAACTGGTTTTGAATTTGCTGGTTGGGATAACAGGTAGTCCTTGGTGTGAAGTGCCGTAAAGATGAAAACACATGTTTCGTAAAGATGAAATTTAGAGGCATCATACCCTTTATCGGTTCTAAAGGCATCAGACACCTTAATGAAGGTCAGGACAAGAAAGAATTACATCTTACTGATCTGGAAGCTGTCTTTGCTTCTTCAGTCCACCCGAAACTTTTCTATAGTCATGCAATGTGTCACTGATGTAGAGTGTCACTGGTGCAGAGTATATATTTCTAAACTCTTTTGTAAGTGCTTGTGAAATTATACTATTTTAGAACCAAGGAAATTCCTCACTGCTTGAACTCTACTTGAACTTCGTCCTCTTAACTAGTCGTGGTTTGCTGTACCTTCCCTCTATATCATGTCTGTTATAACTTGCAATCTGTCTCTTTAGATGAGCTGTTGCTGAGAAAATCAGTTAACGAACTAATGCATGACTTGCTGCAAGTTGTTCAAAAACTTGTTTCTATCAAACTTGTAAAAAGTTCAGGCCATGTGATTTTTTATTTTATAGTACTTGGCTATTTATTCCAACAATCCTTCCAGTGCTTGTTATCTTTGGATTATGTTTCTGACCCTTCACTCTTAATTTGATTTTCTTGGCAAACCAATGAATTACTTGTCTATGGGATATGTGGTGTAATTTTACAAAAACTGAAATCAAGACGAGGCAAAATGGCTTGACAAAATGACTTTGAAAACATGAAAACTGCAAGGAAACTGGTCATGAAGATGAGCATAAACAATTTCAGAAAACTTCAGCAGGCAAGATTAGAGTTGAAGCAGAAGAAGAAGAAGCCGTCTTGTCTGCTGCTCATGCAATGATCACTCAACTATCTGGCTTGGTATGTGTTTTGGAACAGAAACATATGCAAACGTTGGCAATTATAGTGAGCATTGTTTTTTGCAAGACAAATTCAATTGCTGCAAAATTGTCACACTGTGGCTGCTTGCGGGGGATCTTCTTAAACTAGATCATTGAAACTATATGATATCATAATGGAAACTCATGGGGACCTGACCATCAGAATTAATAGCTTACTGAATGTAAGAAAATTCGTACTTAATTAGCCAGTGGGTTCCAACTTCTAAACAGTAACCGAGCATTTGGGGCACACCCATTGAATATTGAATTGCATTGCTTGAAAAATGAATAAATACATACTATAGGGGCAAGACAAAAGTATGACAAGATTTACAGTTTACGGCTCAATGAGGGGGATCAAGTTACGACTAAAACAATGTTAAGATCAATTGTAAATAACTCTATTATGTTGAAAACTCTTCATATTGAGTTGTATCCTCATTATTATTTTGTAATAACTTTAGTGACGGGGCTGAAAAATAATTCTTGGGTACATACAGTAGATTGCCTCATAATATATGCATGCAATATAAAACATCAAAATTCATTCTATGTAAATAGAGTGCCGATATTGATTCAAAGATGTGATTTTGTCTTTTTACACAACTCAATGACTTGATAACTAGTCTTATGAGTTTTCACCATGCCGTCGATTCATACCTCTTAGTACTAAGTTAGTTGACACAAAACTCAATTATACAACATGTTATATACACGAGGAACTTGACACTATTCGACTATAAACAGATTTTTGAAAGTAGTGAAGTAACTTTGACATGACACCCAGTTCAACTTGGGAGAGAGATGTTGAAGGAAATATCACACATTCTTTACTTTATTTTTGTTTATGATTTACTAAGGGAAATAGACGACAAGTGGATCCGTGGCGCAATGGTAGCGCGTCTGACTCCAGATCAGAAGGTTGCGTGTTCGATTCACGTCGGGTTCAGTTTTTACTTTTTGCAATTTTCCATTTTTGGCGTGGGCATTTTGGTCATTGCGTTCTTAAACCCATCTTCTCTATCCTCCCGAAGCCCAAACTCTTCCAACAGCACAGCTGACCCTCTCTCTCTGTCTCTGTCTCTGTCTCACACACATTTGTTCATTCTTCCAGAACCACCAACCAGTCGATAAATTCACACTGACAGATACACATACACCAATTTTGGCAGAGACAAGCCCCTAAATTTGCCACTCATACAAGAACTAAATGTATGATCACTTTCTACCCTCTCCTCCAAATTCATCACAACCCCGCTAAGATGCCTTCAAATTTATCAACAGTGTCTCTCCAACTCACCCCAATTCCTTGTTTCCCGCCCAAATTCACCCACCCATCTTCACATAATTGCAGTAGCACGCACCCATGTAGTAAGAAGAGACCCAGTTACAGTATCTTGTGTGTATCGACCCGACCCAAGAGAAAATCGATCTCCAAGGCCGATAAGAGCTCAGAGGCAGAAGAGATGGTTCGTTTGCTGATGAGGAATTTTAGTGACAAAAGGCCATTGTTGTCAACTTTGAACAAGTATGTAAAGATTGTGAGGACTGAGCACTGTTTTCTTCTGTTTGAAGAGCTTGGGAAGACTGATCAGTGGCTTCAGTGTCTCGAGGTTTGGCGTTTTTGGCAACCCTTTTGCTTTTTATCTCTCTATTTTCTAAGAAAGCTTGTGCATTTCTAAGAAAGTTGTTGATTTGTTGCTAATATGATAAGACGAGGAAGAAAAGTGCAAGAAAATAAGCAAAATTCCCTCTTCTGGGGGGAAGCCCTCTGTAATAGCAGTTCAAAGATAACTCGACTTTTTTTTGTGGACTCCAATAAATACAGCCAAGATAGCATTATCAGCTCCTAATAATCAGCCATTAGATCCTAATTCCTAGATATACTTCACTCATCCGATTTCCTCCAACAATCTTGCCAATCTAAAGTTATTAATTTCTAAAATCCTGCTAACCTTTCTCTGCTGCTTAGTCTTCTCTTCAGCTCCAAGATTTACTCCACTGATGAATAATAATCACACCATTAGTTGCATAATCATCTCCTCTGGTGCATAACATAATATTTGTGATTTTTAGTTTGGTTTGTGGTTGTGCTTTTATAGTTTTGTTTAGGCTGTTGTTGTTGCCAAAGCAATGTTTCCAACAGTTAAAACAAGTACTGCGGTAAATAGTTGTATACTTAGCTTTTATGGTTGTGCATTGCTATTGTATAAGCCAATTTGCTTTGGTAGCAGGGTATAGGATAATCGTCTGTTACTCTGTACACATAGTCGTTCATCATGCATAAACATATTCATATGGGGGCATTAGACATATTGCTTGCTGTATGCAACTTCACTGAAGTGTTAGCATTGCTGTCTTTTATAGTCCACAAGCTGCAGCATTGTTTCCTTGATATTCTCTATTTAACCATAGGTCCATAGCACTATCATACAAAATAGGGGATTTTATATTTAAGTGGATGAGCTATGACAAATCATATAGCAGACCGTTGGACATGTTATGTTGTATTGGCATTTCTTTGGATTATCTTATATATTTTTTATTATCTGCTAGCAACACCATAAATCTCTTGCAGTTTATTATATTGTTACTTGGTGGCATGCCTATGTGTTTAAAGCACGTTGGGAACCCCTAATGTAGTGGTCATTAGCTTGAATGTGTGGTGTGCTGTCGCAGGCAACCAAAAATAAAACCAATACTCCTAAAAATAAATGTAGTAGTGCGAGTAGGGATCGTTCCCACAAAGAGTATCTAGCCTAGTTTTATGCTTCGTGAACAAGGATGGAAGGGGGTTTGAGTTTAACGAAAACAATTAAAGAACAATTCAAATTAAAGTATCGAAATCAATCAAGAGAACAAACCTTGATCTAAGTCAACATTCACCATCGGAATTTAATTTACAACTGATTATCGATGCAAGTATATATCAATTCACTATCTGAATATTCACCGTTAGAACTATCTTCCTATCTTTTCTTAGTCGCAATTAATTAGAAAACAAGCGATCTAATTAACCTTAACTACTAAACAACCCAAGACAAGTACTAAAATTTTAATCTAGTAGCATCATTAAGAATTAGAAAGATCGATGAAATTAAACAATACAAGCACAAGCAGATGCATTTAATTTATTCGAATGTTCTTTCTAAGATCTAATAGTCTCTGTTGCAGCAAATCATTAAATCTTAGTTGCTTCACAAATTAGAGGGATCAAACAATTACGGATTTGATATCTAACCCAGCAGTAGATTGCAACGAATAATAAACTAGTAGGCCTCCTAGTAATTAAACGATGCAATCATAAAAATAGGTACAACAAAACATCCAATACCCAAAACATAAATTGAACTATAAAAACAAATTAGATCTCACAGTTTTATTGATTCCGAGGCTTCCGTTTCCTTAGATCGAGTATTATAGTTTAGCCACACATGGCCTTCATGAAAACTAAAAGAAAGAGTTAGAGAAGAAGGGGTATAGCAGCCTCTATATTATGCTCATTTTTCTTTCTTTCTCTCTCCTTAAATAAATATAGAAAACATATCACACTCCCAAAACGTGTACAACTCAAATCCCTATATTATAGGTATTCCTTATCAAAACAGATTGACAGAAATCGTGCTGGAACTTGTGATCTGTTTTTCTATCAGATAACGACTGAATATTGATTTGGGCTCTTCATGAAAGTTGTAGCCCTGAATGTGTAGATAAATTTAGGTTTTTGAATCACCTGATTTGGATTTCGTAAACTCAAGTTATGACCCACCGAAGTTTACTGGTTCAGAAAGGAATCCAACTCTAATCAGGATTCTGATTAGTTTTCCCGGCTTGACTTTGAAACAATGTTTGGAGGCCCAAACGAACTCGGATTTTTGCAAACCATACCTTTCTGAAAAGCTTAAGACGTCCTCTAAAAACTTCATGAAGAATACTTTCTCAGCCTGAAACTCTAACGCCATCCAAACCTCAATTAAAGCTCCATAGATTGAACTGCCTAAAAACTGAAAATTGCATAATAATACTCCATATCTATTCTTTTGCCTTCAATACTTCCCTTGATGCAATCAATATCTCTCAAAACTCAAAACATGAAAGTTGTAGATATTTTCTTTGGCATTTCATAGCATCTTGAATCATCTCAATCGGAGCTCGGATGAGAGAGTTATGCCCAGATTATGAAGCAATGTCGAAACTGTTCACAATCATCCAATTAGCTTCGTTTTGCATTTAACGTCTCCATTTGCATCCTAAATCAAAATATAAGAATAATGAGTATATTTAGGCTCCAAATAACTATAAAAGGCTAAATATTAAAAGAGAAAAATATGACATTTTGCATTCTCATCAATGTCCACTTGCTTATTATGCATCTCATATTTAGGTTTTTAGATGGATGCAAAAACAACGGTGGTATATAGCAGATAATGGGGTTTATTCGAAGTTAATATCAGTTATGGGAAGGAAAGGCCAAACCCGGATGGCCATGTGGCTCTTCTCTGAGATGCGTAACAGTGGATGCCGAGCTGACACTTCGGTTTACAATGCACTCATCACAGCCCACCTTCACTCTCGGGACAAATCCAAGGCCTTGGCCAAGGCTCTTGGATACTTTGACAAGATGAAAGGAATGGAACGCTGTAAGCCAAATATTGTGACATACAACATTATTTTGCGAGCTTTTGCTCAGGCCAGAAATGTGGGGCAAGTTGATGCTTTGTTCCAAGATCTTGATGAGAGCATTGTTACCCCTGATATCTTCACATTTAATGGTGTAATGGATGCCTATGGGAAAAATGGAATGATCAAAGAAATGGAATTAGTGCTTTCACAAATGAAGGGTAAACAGGTGAAGCCAGACATCATCACTTTTAATTTGTTGATTGATTCATATGGGAGGAAGCAAGCATTTGATAAGATGGAACAAGTGTTTAAAAGCTTGTTGCACTCCAAAGAAAGACCAACACTTCCAACTTTTAATTCGATGATCACAAACTATGGAAAAGCACGGCTTAGAGAGAGAGCAGAGTTTGTTTTCCAGAAGATGACTGATATGAGATACACGCCAAACTTCATCACATATGAGTGTCTCATCATGATGTATGGATATTGTGATTGTGTTTCGAGGGCAAGAGATACCTTTGATGATGTGATAGAAACTCAGAAGGAGAAAAAGGTTTCAACACTAAATGCCATGCTTGACGTTTACTGCATGAATGGTTTACCGATGGAAGCGGACATGTTATTTGAGAGTGCATGTACAACTAAGACTTTTCGTATAGATTCCTCAACATATAAACTTCTCTATAAGGCTTACACTAAAGCTGACATGAAGGAGCTATTACAGAAATTGATGGCGCAGATGGACAGAGATGGTATCATTCCCAATAAAAGGTTCTTCCTGGATGCTTTAGGAGCCTTTGGGTCTTCACTCACTGACCCAAAGGCTGCTACTGACAAAAAGAAGTTAAGCAGGCCAGCTGTTACTGGAAAGCAATAGGTGGAGGTATTTGGCTGTTTTGTTGGTGTGCTCCTGAACATCTAGACTAAGCTATGATCCAAGCAGAACTTTTTATGTCAAGGAGACGGTGAGTGGGTTCAGCAACGGATTACTTTATGGCTTCAATCTCGTTGCCTTTATTATGTGGTATGCTTTTTGTTCTTTATAAGTTCCTTTTTTAATATCCTTTTTGCATTTATCCATTCTGATCTATGTCATTTAGCCACTCTGATCTTACAAAAATTCCTTGCTTTGTTTCCCTTTTCTAACTTGCAAGTCTTTGCTAGATTTGTTCGAACATTTGAGACCTTGAATCCTTTGAGTTTCTTGACAAGGGGTGTTCATTTCTCTTTTCCTTTATTTTAGTCGTTTCGATATAACTTATAAGTTCCAACATAGAATCTTCTGCGTTGAACTCACTCATACTTGCTGAGGAATTAAGCATAATAGAGTTATGAAAGTGGCAGTTTCAAGGTATTCAGAATTTCAAGTAGAAAAAATGTGACGAAGTATAAATCTGGGGGTGGCAATGCAGCAAGGACTTCACAATTGCTTTGAGAAACTTCATGAATGAGTTTGGGAGCTGAAAAATGTGCTGCATTATGGATGATCTCTTATACATGTATGATAGAACTCTCACCATTTCTAGAATATCTGAAATTATTTAAAAATCACTTGTGCTTGTACTTTATTTAGAAATTGAAAGTTCTTATGTTTAGAGAATTCGTGATACCCTAGTTATGTATGATGACATTCATAAGTTCTGCCAAAAATAAGTAAAGTAAGCAGAAAAAGGAAAAAGAAGAACAAAGACGAACTTTTTTATTTATTTCATTTTTTGTAATTTCCAATAGAGGTGAACTTTTTATTTATTTCATTTTTTGTAATTTCCAACAGAGGAGACGATTTTACTTCCAAATCATGAATCAAACACCAATTGACTGAACTATCCTCACTGCTAGCTGATAGCAACCACTCAGAGTGGTCTGAACCCCTGATTTCGGTGCATGTTGTAACGGCATACTAAGCTACCAGGCGAACAGCATGTCTAGAAATTCTGGGAAGATAGGAGAACAAGGTTTCCTACAACAACTTTCTGAACTAGAATATTAACTTGCTCAAGTCATTTTACATTTTATTGCTTGAGAACTCCATGTATTACTGTCAAGCGGCAGCTTCAGCTACCAAATTTCTTCTTTTATCTTCCATAGATCTGCATTTTGCCATTTTTAGGGACCAGAAGATTACAGCTTAAGTGGCATTTTGTAAACAGATGCATTGCTGGTTCTCATCTATATTCATTTAGCAACATCACAGGGAGCTCCTATAATCTAAGTCAAATTCAGTTTTCATAAACTCAGCATTTGTGCATAAAGGTGTTTCAATTCAACATTCTTTGATTTTCAACTCTGTCCATATTCTTGTGCCACTTTAAATGCTCTTTCCTGTTGAGTGTTCCCTATCTAATCAACACTCAACTTGAGTGTAATGCTGTGGTAGATAAGACCTGAAATGCGTCCAATAATATATCACCAATTTCCATTTGTCATGTCCCATGCTTCAGTGGGAGCTGGAAACACTGTTAACCATTCTTATATTTCATGTTTCTTTTTGCATTAATTAACCATTTGTCACGTCTTAGACTGCAATGGGGAAACATAATGAATTAGCATGCAGCAGAGTGTACAAAGGTATTATCTAATATTGAATTTAGTTTAACTTCGGGTTTAATAACAATAGAAGGTTTCTTTTTTATTTATACTGGTGTCTTTCTTTTTCTGGAGTCATGTCATTTGCTATATCTTTGTTTCATGGGTGGGAATGTGTAAACTTACCCAATATACCAGGTACTTGTGGAATTTCCAAATTCTTACTTGTTAAATATTATTTTTTGCTCCTTTTAAATTTTGTTGGATCTGTTTCTGAAAATTTTGTTTGGATCACAAGTTGTACCAGCTATTGCTAAAAGATGGTGGTTTAGAAGTTGTGCATGTGACCATGTTGCTGAACTGATACTGGTGGGGCTTAAGATTAGGTACTCGGGGTCCATCCATGGACGGCTGTCTCAATAATTATGGCTCATTAATAATGTGTGTTCCATGACCTTATAAGTTTTTGAATGCTTGAGTTGTTTACACCATACCATAATTAAAATATGTTTGCCACTTGATTGGGACTGAAAAGAATGGAAGTTTCTTCATCCTCTGTTTGATTTGCTCAAGTGACACTCCATTTTCTGTTTTGCTGAAACTTGTCGTGGTGGGCTAGACAACTTTGTTCATTATCAGAATCACCAATGCCTTGAGGAAATCATATAACCATATATATTTTTTGAAGTGTCATGATAATGATAAACTCATTTCTATTTTATGCATGACCATGTTTCTGCTTTTTGACAATAGACTTATTAAGCTGAGTTATTTATTATCACCGGTAGGATCAAATTCTTCAAAGGACATACTGGTCTTGCAATCTGCAAGGTACTTGCATAGGGCAGCCAATGCTGATGCCAGTTTGTTGGCCAGGAGGGGTGCTATTACTTTTGAATGCTTGTTTGCAGATGCTTCCCTTAGACACCACCTATGTTGTGACTGGTGTGTATTTTGAGGAAATCTTCTCTTCTCTTTGTATTTTTTTCTTGATTTGTCAAAAAAGCATATTTTTCTTTCTTGTTCTGGATAATGGGTACCTGGACAAATGAATAAATTAGATATTAAAATTATTTTGGCAGTGTAACTGTTGGTATTGTTTTTTGTTAGGTAAAATGTATGAGCAAGAGCCTTACCAAGCACTTTATTCAAAATTTATAAACTATTTTTATCCTATTTGTGCACAGTTCGTACTTATTATGAATGCTGGTGCGTTAAATGGCCTCCAATAGCATCTGAATGACTCTAAAGGATAACACATAACGTCAAATGATACCCCCAAGGCTTTCTTGAGTTCTTTCATTTTCGGAAAATAAGAAAAAAATAATAAATAGAAAGAAAACAAAGGGAGACCTGGGGACTAAAAAGAAGCCATATATTAAGAGATGATGGAGTAACAGAAGTACATCCAAACTACCCTCATGTTGGCAAATACAGCAATTTCTTCAACCAATGTGAGCTAGTCGAGCTACGGGTAGCCATTTAACCCTCTTCTGACTCTGCATTCAAAGTAAATATATCGAAATAAAAGTAAAATGGATAATCCAAGACAGATGCATAAATACTGTCTAGTGCACCATTTAGAAAGCATTGAACAACTATATTTTCCGTTAAGCATGCCTTTTATGAAATGGATGTAACACATAATTCAAACAGAGAAGTACACCATGTATAGCTTCCATGTCTTTCTTATAGAAACCTAGAGGTGAGCCATAAACAGATAGAAGCACCTCACCATGTTTCGGAAGCCTTAAAGTTTTGGGTGTTACGCCAACAGACAACCTCTGGCTACTAACCTGCAATCATAAGTTGAAGCCACCGAGTTACTACCACAGCATCACAAATACCAAACATGACGGCCATCCGGATATTCATTTAGCTACAAAGAAAAATCATTAGAACATCTTACAAAAGAACTTATAATGTTACAAGTGTAATTAATCGACTATGTAATTATTTTGTACATCAATCTACTATGGACATTGGGGCGATCAATTTACTAGCATTTCCAAGAGGAACATTCTACGCCTACTCCAACTACTGTCCCTAACTTCTTATCGTTTTCCTACTTGCAATTGAATACGAGGAGTTAAGCACTAGCCTTGCTGACTTTCAAGAAGGACAGAAAGCTCCATGGTCAACTTACTACATGCCCAACCTCAGAAACTATAGAATCAAGCGAAGGGCAAACAGTATGTCCTGACAATATGGCTGAATGTCGTTACATATGGATGTCCCCTTGGACAATTCTTCAAGATACTCCAGTTGGATTAAAGAAAGTGAAATTTGGAACTCGCCTGTGCAACTGTGTTCTGACATTAGTTCCCTCTATATGCCTCAGCAATCGAAACATGAATGTCCATTTTAAGTTCAAAATAGTCTAGAAAACAATGGACTCTAGAAACTATAAACAGCTTAGACATAGCATGAAGAAATCAACAAGATGATACTTCTCTTTCTTCATTTTTTTTTAATTAAATAAGGAGCTACATAACGCAGGAGTTTGGAAAGCATCTTGAAACTCAAGCATCTGAGGATTGGATGGCTCCTCCAAAACCTATAGAACAATTTTCATAGGAGATATAAGTAAAGGACATATAACATGTTAACACACTCCTGACTCCTTTTACATATATTAGAGACAGAAACACATATTACTAACTAGTTTTCTCGTTCCATAAGAAGCACAGTTTGATATGAACCAATCCCGTCCCATTACAACAAAAAAGACAAAAAAGGAGGGCCGAGAAAGAAAGGAAAGGGAAAAAAACATACAAAACCCCCAATCGGTGGGTTCTCTGCACCAATGAGGCTGGATTTTGCTGCCACCAAAGAAATAACTCGTGAGACGAAATTAATACAAAGAATATGATGTCATATCTGTTAAACATCTAAAGAGACTTACTACTACCTGCTTTGCTTGAAAATTCAAAGCCACTAAAAGAAGGCATTGCAGCAGAGTAATTGGGATAAACTACTGACATCCTGTGTAGAAGAGAAACATGTATGCTTCTTCCATTAGCCTGGTTAATAAATATTCTACCATCTTTATCCCTCCATACCTCATTTTCTCCATCTTTCCCATTACTTACAACTTTAAGATTTGGAAGGTTTTCCTTGAAAACTTGCAGTACAGGAGTCTGTAGCTGGTCCTTGCAGAAATGCGAATGGAACAAACGCCACCAAGTCTGAAACTGTTCAACCTCCACATCACGAAGAGCCCTGATTGCAGCACTTTGATGTTCAACTGGAAAACATAAAAACCTAATAGTACGGAACATGATGCATTTAACAAAACACTTCATTATACAATTGTCAAAAGACCTAAAGGTATGTCAGAACTCGACAGTGAGGTTAGGATGGTGAACATCCAACATGAAAGACACAATCAACCTTATGAACACAAGTCTCAAAAATTCTTGAGTTGAGGTTCAAAGGAAGAGCAAAAGATCATGAACTAGGCATAAGATGGAAAATATTTGCCAAGGTTTCAAATGGTCTAGATAAAGCGAATGGAAAGAAATGATGTATGCAAACTACACCAAGCTATAGATATCGAGGCTTTCGTATGCACGCGTATGATATATATCATACTGCAAAATAACGATCTAAACCAATTTGTAACAAACTGATTGTATTTATATTTGTTAAGAGTATTAGGGTATTATGTGTAAATATTAGAGGGTCTAATACATCTTTTGTATTATTCTAAGTTTACTTTAAATACAAGTGGTTTGTGAGAGTAGGTTAAGTTTTGTCCACTCTTCGTCTTTCTCTAATATTGTGTTAATTCTCTAAACTTAACTTGGTATCAGAGCAATTCGATCCTAAATACAAATCTTAGTGTGTTTGTGTTGTGAAAATTACCTTGGCTTGGTGGTGTCACTATTAAGGTGGTGCTGTTGTCGAAGTGGTGTCACTGTGTGGTGGTACTGCTATCATCCAACATAGTGGTGGCGATACTTGGTGGTGGTGACATATTGTAGTAGCGGTGGTGCTATGTCTGTGGTGGAGGTTTCCGGTGTGAGGCATTGTTGAGGTGTTGTCGACATCAGTACCTCTGTGTTCTGCGATTGTGGTGGTGTCCTCTGTGTTCTGCAATTGTGGTGGTGTGGTCTCTAGTCATCGAGATTGGTGGCATCGTGGCGGTTGCGATGGTGCTGCTGTGTAACCCGTTGTGGTGGTGTGATAGTGGGGCGTCAGCGCCGTCGAAGATCGAGAGTTTCTTTTGAAACCCTAATCAGACAAAGAAGACAAGGTTCGTTTGGGTCAATTATAGGTCGGTTCCAGCCCACTTCAGACCTAGTCCAGCCCAAGATCTAAACCAAAATTGGTCCATCCCAAGACCCAGACCAAATCGGTTCAAGGCCGGTTCAATTCGGTTTGGTCCATTATAGGCCGGTTTAATCTCGGTTTGGTCCACTCTAAGCCGGTTCAGGTAGTTTTGCATCGGCTCAAACCAGCTCCTTCTGTTGCTGCTCCGATTCAACGGTCCATTCCATTTCTCTGGTCCGGTTTAGTCAGTTTGGCACCAGTTCAATCCGTTTCTATCGACTTTCACGCTAGTTCCGTGATCTAGTCCGTTTTTTCAGTCCGGTTCAACTGTCCAGCGAGGTCTTCCAGTCCGGTTCAACGATCCAATGGTCTTTTCTTGTCTGCTTAGCAGTCCAACTACTTTCTCTTACTTTGTTCAATTGTCTAGCAATAAGGTTGCTCCTGTTTTACTATCTGCTATATTATTTTGGAACCTAAGCAAGATGTTATTGCTCCATCCTTGCCACTTACCTCTACTTCTCCGATTTTTATTAATGGTCTCATGACTTCCGTTAAACTCAATGGGACCAATTATACTTTATGGTCCCATTTCGTTCAAGTTTTTCTTCGAGGCAAAAGTTTTAAGAAATATTTGGTTAATCCCAAGCCTAATGAAGATACTTCTGGATATGATCAGTGGGAACAAAAGGACGCTTAGATTATCTCTTTATTGTTGAATAGCATTGAGCCGAGTATTAGTTCTACTCTGCTCTACCTTGACACTGCTAAAGAGATATGGAATCACTTGGCCACTATATATTTTAGTACAAGTAATTTTACCCGTGCGTATGAGGTATGCAAGCAGTACTTCCAGCTAGATCAGGGTACTATGAGCCTTTGCGGATTATTACTCCCACATTTGGGCAGTCTATGAGGAGTTGAAGCTCTACCATCTGTTCACTACTGATGTAGCAGTTTGGCAGAAGCAACATGAGGATTTGGATGTTGTTAGGTTTTTTGTAGGATTAAAACCTGAATATGAGGCTATTCGTTCTCAGATTTTGGGTGGTTCTAGTCTTCCCTCTCTCCTTGAGATTTTCTCTCGTTTACAGCATGCTACTCTGTCTACTCTTTCAGGCATCGATCATGGTGTCTCCACTGATCGCTCAGCTCTTGTGGTTCCTAGTAGACACAGTGATAGTCACTAAGGTGGACATGGTAATCATGGTGGTCATGGAGGCCGAGGAGGTCGTACGAGTGGACATGAGTAGGGGCCATAGTGGACCTTGTTCCTGTACTCACTGTAGTCATGGAGGACACACTATTGATTTCTATTAGGATTTACATGTAAAACCTTCTGGTATTGCTAATCAAGTTTCCTATTAGGATGACATCTCAGTTGTTTCTTCTATACCTCAGTCAACTCCACTAGACTCTGGGTTGGTTACTATTACACGTGAGGAGTATACTTAGTTCATGCCCCAGCAATAGACTGGTTCATCTTCCTCCACTACTATTTTTGCCCAGTCAGGTATCGCTTCCACTTGTTTATTGTCCTCCACTCATAGTTCCTGGATCATAGACTCTGGCGCTTCTGACCATATGACTAGTGTGTCTGGTGTCTTTTCTACTTATCAGTCTGCTATTTTTACACATAGTTTTCTCTTGCTAATAGTACTTGTTCTAAAGTTTCAGGTTTTGGGACTACTCACTTGAGTCCTAATATGTCTCTATCCTCTGTATTATTTGTTTGTCAGTTTTCTTTTAATTTACTTTCCATTAGCAAAATTATCAGCTCTCTGAATTGTTCTGTAATATTTTATCCCTCTTATTTTATATTTCAGGATCTCAAAAGTAAGAGGAAGATTGGTACGAGACATAAAGCTGGTGGCCTATCTTACTTTGACTTTGATTCACCTACTCGGACTCGACAAACCTAGTTGTCTTTTTTTAATGACATTGTTGTCTTGGATATCCCTCTCTCCAGAATCTGAAGCGCCAAATTCCTAATCTTAGTTATGTGTCATATGTGTCTGGTGAACTTGTTAACTTAGTAAGTATCACCGTGTGTCCTTTCAGTCTAGAGTCAATAATCGTGTGTCTAGTCCATTTGAAATGGTATATTCTGATGTATGGGGTTTAATAAAGAATATTTCATCTAATAAATATCCTTATTTTGTGTCATTTGTAGATGATTATTCTCATGTGACATGGTTGTTTTTTATGAAAGATCATTATGAATTGTTCTCTATATTTGAGACCTTTTGCAAAGAAAAAAAAACTCAGTTTAGCTGTCGTATACGTATTTTACGTTCTAAAAAGTGTGAATTTTACTAGCTCACACTTTTCAAAGATGTTCATGTCTTTTGTTTAATTTGTGATAGATGTCAGAGGTTGGGAAGCATTTCAAAAAGAAACATAATGCCCTTAAACTCAATTCTTGTGATTGAAATTTTTGACTGTTGGGGCATTGATTTTATAAGACCATTCCCTCCTTCCTTTGGTTATCTATACATCCTGGTAGCTGTAGACTATGTATCCAAATGGGTTGACGCAATTTCATGTCAGAATAATGATCACCAAACGGTGATTAAATTTTAAAAAAAAAAAATTTGTCCCGTTTTGGAATTCCGAAATCAATTATAAGAGATGGGGGTACTCATTTTTGCAATCGCCCTTTCTAGAATTTGATGAAAAAATATTTGATTTTTCACAAAATTGTAACCCCTTATCACTTACAGACTAATGGACAGGCTGAATTGGCTAATCGAGAAATCAAATTAATTTAAAAAAATGGTAAATCCAAACCGCAAAGATTGGTCGTTAAGACTAACTGATCCACTCTGGGCATACCGCACTGCTTTTAAAATAATTTTGGGCATGTCTCCCTATCGATTAGTCTATGAAAAACCTTGTCCCCTGCGTGTGGAATTGGAGCATAGAACATACTGGGCCATTAAAGCAATGAATTTTGACTTGGACAAGGCTGGACTTTCAAGAAAACTGCAAATTAACGAACTGGAGGAATTGAGAAATGAAGCATATGAGAATGCTAAGATTGCGAAATCTAGGATAAATGAAATCAAGAAAGATTCCATTTTTTCATAAAAATTCCTTAATTCGAGAACTGTGAACTTGTCACTCTATTTTCATTGGTCGCAAGGAGGAGATTACACAAAGACTTGCTTTAGAGAATAATATCCTCATGCAAAAAAACCTATTTTGTCTTGGCAAAGTTATGTCAATTAAAAGAATAGTTGACGCCAGATCTGATGTTGAAATTAAAAATGCCTTTGAGGTTTTACATTTGCAGTTAGCAGAACTACGATATACAATATTCAATATTCAAATACTGCAAAATAAGTTAAAGATTCAACCTTAAAAGACAAATGTATATGCATAACCTAAAGAGAGAGAGAGAGAGACTATCTCATCTCATCAAGTTATCTCTTTCTTATATTACCCAGTTTTGTCCTTATTAATCAAGTGAAAAAGAATCGTAAAATGAACGCAGTGAAAATTAAATATATTCATGTTTAATACGAACTGATAAATCTTAAATCTATAGAGAAGATTAAAGGTTTCCTATTAAAGTGTACCTTTAACGAATTCTCAAAAATTTTGAATGCTCAAATCTGAATTTGATCATTACCCCGAGCCTCACAATAGTTTGGCCTCTATCGATATACACACGAATTGATAAATTTGAAAAATCTATTTCAACCTTTGATAAACTAGTAGAGGGAGAGAATAATAGGTGAATTTTCTTGTACCTGCAAGAGAGTTGTTTTTTTCGTTATCTCATATATCCACCTCCTTTATAAAAGCATTTATAGAGCTTTAGAAGACTCTAATCCTAGTTTGGGTCTAGTTACAATTATCTCATCACTACATATAATCCCTATATTAACTATTAATTGTATTAAAGTCCCTAATAACTCTTGATTAGGTTTTCACCCCAATTAATTTTTCATTGATTTTCTCTCATTTATCCTTTTATTTCCAATCAACTCTATTGTGTGTGACC